TTACTTTTAGTTCCTGTTCAATACGGTGTTGGAAACATTTTATGTCCTTCGTTAATTTTTATGCCTTAGCATTTTTTTAAGATTTCAGCGACGAATATGGAAAAATTATGTTTGTACACACAAATTATGAAGACTGTAGTTTTTCTCTAGTAATCCGCCAAAAAAATAATCGCAATATTTTTGTTTTTTAAATAGTTTATGATGAACTTAGGCTGAAAAACAGTACGGCTTCCATCATCTTTTGGCTTAGTATCACTGTGTATGCAGGTTTTGTGGTTAGCAGGAAAAGAGAGATTTTGCCCATTTCCTTGAGAATTCACTATTTCTGCCTTATCTTTCGTCTTGCCTTATCGGTACGTATTGATATTGAAGAAGGCTTCCTAGCTGAAAGTTTTAATTCCAGAAAAAGCCGCTAAAACTTTTATAAAATCCTACCAAAGTATTTGTAAAAATATTTCCAGTCGATCATACTTTTTTCCACTTTTGGCAGATTGCCCCCCTTAAAAAATCTGTGTCTGTGGGTTCATAAGTGTTCGTTTTTTCTTCATTTCAGATATGGTGAAATTGTGAATATAAATTTGATCCGAGATCATAAAACAGGAAAATCGCGGGGCTTCGCCTTTCTATGTTACGAAGATCAACGTTCCACCATATTAGCCGTTGATAATTTCAATGGTATAAAGGTACGCGTTTCTTGCGTCTATGCAATGCACAAAACGCATATTGACGAGGGGTTGTCTGTGTGTGTGTGTGTCGGTGTGTTCGTCTATACCGATTTTTCATCTCGAGACTTACAAAAGTCACAGGACGGAAACTTTGGGGACTTAATCTACATGCGTGTACGGGTCCCCATCTCCAAAATGGGCACTTTTACCCGCGTGGTGCTCACATACAGGCCTGCCAAAGTTTTTTTCGGGTAAGTTGCTAACTCGAGTACCTGAAAAGCTAGAAGACTGGAATTTTAAGAGGATTTTAAGAGGATATTTCCCGTCCAATTAGGTATTAATGAGTTCAAACCCAGCCCTCGATTATGCGTGGTACCCAAGTATGAGCCCGCCATAGTTTCTTCCTGGTAAGTTGGGCACCTGGAAAGCTAGAAGACTGGAATCTTAAGGGGATGTTTCCTGGTAGTCCGGGCGGTCAGTCTCAATTCTTTTAGCTAGAAGTATCTGCCTGTAAACGCTAGCGACAAAAATCTGCGAGGAACTTATGCAAAAAATGCATCTTCATACCGGCAGTCGGCGCTGGTCATTTATTTAAGCATATTTTTGAGTTAAACCGTGTTGTTCTTAATTTATGAAACAGCGTTATGCAAAGCATGCGTTGAAAATTAGCCAAAAAGCGGTCCTGGTCCTCACCGATGTGTATTAAAAATTTCTCATATTAAAAATTTCTCATAATTTCTCATATTGTTACCCCTCATCCTGCGCCGTTGCTCTGAAAAGGGAACTATTTTTTCCAGCTGTGGAATCGAACCCTCGACCTTTTGCAGAAAAGTAATGCTTTTTTCCAACTTTTGTGATAGGATTGATTGGTGGTTCAGCGGTGTGATTGTAGCATAATGGTAATAGCTCTACAGTGATAGTACAGCAAAATGAAATCATGTTTTAAAATCATGTTTTTTTTTCTTTCATTATAATGATTTCTCATGTTTTTTTCTTTATAGTGGTTCATGTTTTTTCATTATAATGATTTTTTTTTGCAGTTACTGAAGAGAATAATAAGTGTAAACCATGTTGAAGAATACAAAGTGCCAAAATATCGTGAGGACATTGATGAAGAAACACGTCGAATTTGGGAGGAAGGTTGTGCCCCGAAGCCGATCCTTGTTACCGAAAGTTCGTTACAAATTTTTAAAACATTTTCAGTGGTTGCGAAAATTGGGTAAAATTTCAAAAGACCGTCTTTTTTTCCTCACTATTTTCTGGAACTTACCTCATTCATTTGGTATAGCTTTGATAAAATGTGTAATTGCTTGAAATTTTTCTTTTTTTATTGCGAGAATATTACAGATTTAGGCTTGCCAGCTGTTCACTGAACTTTTTCGGCCCAGTTTTGCGAGCTCCAGATTTGAAAATAAGGGAATTTTCTTCTAATTTTTTTAGACATTTCAGATGAACCTGACAAAGAAGAAGATCCGTTGGCCAACCTAAAAGGAGTGGCTGTTGAGGTTGGTCTTTTTTGAGCA